ACAGTCTATCGCCACTTGGACCTGGCGGCTATCGCCGAGGTTGTTGACCATATTAATATTATGGCGTATGATTTTGCCGGACCCTGGTCATCGACCACCGCGCATCAGCAGAATTTGTTTGCCGCCATGCCTAATTCCTCTGGGCTTTCTGCCCACGACACCGTGTCTGATTATATTGCCCGGGGCGTGCCGCCACACAGGATTGTGCTGGGCGTTGGGTTTTACGCTCGTGGATTCAGCAATGTGGACCCGGGGCAGTCGCCCGATGGGGGGCCGGCACTACTTCCGGGGCTCGGATGTCCCTTTGTGGGCGTCCCTGATGGCACTTGGGAGCCCGGATCCTTTGATTACAAGGCCCTGAAGGGCGCGCAGTTGTTGCCTGGATCTGGGTACGCTAGTTATTGGGATGATCAGGCGAAGGCTCCGATCCTGTATAGCGAAAGTGAGCGCGTTTTGATTTCGTATGAGGATGCTGTGGCAGTGAGCTGGAAGGCGGATTATGTGTTGAGACGAGCGCTTGGCGGGATCATGATCTGGGAGCTGTCGCAGGACTGCGGTAATGAGCTTTTGGAAAAGATCTGCGAGTACCTTGGATAAGATGAACTAAAAAAAATTTGCCCCCTCACCCATCCAATACTGTTTTATATTTGTGATGTTACTGTGCAATACAATGGAAGAGGGAAAGAACATGAGATATAAAAATAGTACCAAAAAGGGGGAGGGAAAGGAGTGTTGTCACCGTGTTTCAATTTTTTTTACAAACTTCTACAAACCTCCACTTTTCACTTTGTTTTTTATCTAATTTTTTTTCTTTTTTTTCTTTCTACCAATTTTAATTTTAATTTTTCAATTTCTGCTTCAATTCCAACCTTAATTCCCAAAATAAAACATATAAAACCATGACCCGTGGAAATCAGCGTGAGGAAGCTCGTAAGCGCAACATGAAGAGGGGGGAAAAGACAGGATCGAACAAAAAGGTCGAAGGAAACGCTGGAGTTCAGCTTAAGAATAGAATGGAAGGCGATGCCGATATTATGCGCCAGAAGCAAGCAAGGGTAAAAAAAACTGAAAACTGAAAACAAAATAGCACAAGCAATAAACAAAAACAAAAAAATATAGTTTTTTATTTGGAATATGTGTACTGACTTTGGCGGGTGTTATTACTGCTTCTTGTTCTTTTTATCTTTATCTTTTTATAGGCTTCCCTGAAGGCTGCTGAAAACGCAAAGTAATACGATATATATTTTTGGGATAGGGTTTGACCCGCTCCAGCTGAACAACATCAACAAAAATCAGTGTAATTGGTTTTGTTTTGGATATGTAGTTTTGGTTATTGTTATTTTCCTACAATATTTAGTTTTATTATTAGGATTTTTCAAAAAGAGCATTGGCTAACTCTGAGCTTGTTTCAATTACACTTCCTCCTCTTTCTCCATTTGCTGCTGCTGATGTTGTTCACTAATGATACCCGCCGCTGCGATGCTCGTTACGCTAGAGTCCGTGTTGCCTCCGTTCCCAACGCCCGACCGAAATGCCTACAAATAAATGACACATACATACAATTCTCTTTATTTTAGAATATAATGCAGTATTATTTTCAAGGCTTTTTTTATAATATACACTAGCGCATAAAGTAAAACAAAATGAAATAACAATACAAAGCATAAACATAAGCAAAAAACTCTACCTGATAGTAGCCAGCATAGTAACCCGCGTAATACCACGCTGTGTTAAGTTTATACAATGCTTCCTCTTCTGACTGCGGTGCCGGCGGCATCACATCCACTGCGCCGCTATACAATGACGAAGATAAGGATAGTTGTACATTGGGATCCATATGCTCTTGTTGTTTTTCAGAAACACGTCGTTTCTTTTTCGTCTCCGGTTCAATATCCAGTGCTGCCGACCACTGCCCCACTTTGCTTTCGTCTCTGTGTTGAACAGTTCTGTATGCCTCGTCTGTCATCAAGTGGGCGTGTTCCCGATGGTATTCTGCAATGGTGTTGTCCCAGGCAAGAACAAGGTCGGTGTCGTCCCAGTCTCCCTTTGAATCATCTGCGCTATCATCGTCGCTGTAGTTGTCGTCGTTATTATTAGCAATGTGGCGGTGGGTTTGTTGCTGCTGCTGCTGCTGCTGTTGCTGTTGCTGTGATGCAAGTATTTCTTCTTCTGTCTCGCTGTATATGTCGTCGTAGGAGACAAGCTGTCTTTGTGGCATTGACATTTTATGCTTTCGATATATAAAAATAAACTAATCAAAACAAAACAAATAAAAATACCTTATAAAAAAATATATTCCGAATAATTTCTATACCCGATGATGGCTTGATCCTTTTGCTTGCGAATTATTGTGGGGAGGAAAAGGTTTTTTGTTCACAATTTTTTATTTCATTTTTTATCGTTTCAAGCCCAGAACTTTTTCTCATTTTCTCTTTTTCTCTTTTCTTCATTTCAAATTATATTATATTTGCCATACACTCAATAAAATGGGCAAGTCTTCAAAGGACAAACGCGATGTATACTACAGACTGGCCAAGGAGCAGGGCTGGCGTGCCCGCAGTGCATTCAAGCTGCTCCAGGTCGACGAGGAATTCAACATTTTCCAAGGTACGACAATAACACAAAAAAATGCGAATAAGCCAAAAGCATTCGATTCAATTCAATTCAATTCAATTCAATTCAACTTAAATTTGGTTTTAGGTGTCACAAGAGCCGTCGATTTGTGCGCCGCACCCGGAAGCTGGTCACAGGTGCTCAGTAAGGAGCTGCAAAAGAACAACACTGACACCAAAGAGCCACCACAAATCGTCGCCGTTGATCTCCAGGCCATGGCGCCGCTCCCAGGTGTCACACAGATCCAAGGCGACATAACAAAATTATCGACAGCCGAACAAATAGTCTCGCACTTTGACGGGGCCCAGGCTGATCTCGTTGTCAGCGACGGCGCCCCCGATGTCACAGGCCTGCATGACCTAGACGAGTACATCCAGGCACAGCTGATCCTCGCCGCACTCAACATCACCACCCATGTTTTGCGCAAGGGAGGCACTTTTGTGGCAAAGATCTTTAGAGGAAAAGATGTTACGCTGTTGTATGCGCAGCTCAAGATATTTTTCCGCACCGTTCATGTGGCTAAACCAAGGTCGTCGAGGAACTCGAGTATTGAGGCGTTTATCGTGTGCTTGGAGTATAATCCGCCGGAGGATTACGTGCCTAATATGGCTAATCCACTGATGGATGTGCCGTATGGTCCGGATCAGCCTATTGTTGGGAGTAACCGCGTTATCGTGCCCTTTGTCGCCTGTGGCGATTTGCGCGGGTTTGATTCTGATATGACGTATCCGCTGGAAATAGACGATGACGAGCCGTACCACCAGCTGGACCCGATGCAGATGCCCATCAGTCCGCCGTACAAAAAGGCCCTTGAGCTCAAGCGCGCCAATTTCTACAACTAACCCCTCTCCTTTTTATTGTCTATTTCGTATCATTTAAACATTTAAAGTGTAAATTTTGGATGTAAAGTTATATGGATGAATCGAGAATATCCAACATGTCGTCGTCGGCGGCGAATGCATCCAGGGCATCGGTGCCGTCCAACATGTCCAATATGTCGTCGTTCTGGCCGTTCTGGCCATCCCTAGTGTCCCCTGGCAAACCAACCTCAACTGCGCTGCTTCTGCTGCCATTATTTTCATTTATCCTGCGTGGCGCGTTTATCGGAGTGCCTATCTCAGACTGTTGGATCTGGGGCTGCGTCTGGGACAACACAATAGGGTTGCACCTCGACCCGCCAACCTGCACGGTAAACACGCGGCTGACCACAGCAATAGTAATGACCAAAAACGGCAGCGCACCGGGCATGACCATAACAACGACATTATCCAAGATAACCGATGTCCCCGCCGTACATTCCCTGCCCAAATCACGCAAAACCCCGGCATGTATCGATGCCTCCATCTCGCCTGTCGGATCAACCACCACAGCACTCGCATCCATCTCACTGCCAGTGCCAACATCGCGAATCTGCACAAGCATTCTCGAAACCTTCTGCGTCTGCTTCACTTTACCCAGCACCTGGCGAATTGATATGCCAATTTCACCCATGTCCTGGACGCGTTTCGCGGTTCGCGGCGTGTATGGAGGCAGGTTAAGGTGGTCGACCATGGCAGCCCATGTGCCGCCCTCAAAGTCAGCCTCAGAAGCTTGCTCGGCGCGAGTGCGCCGGGAAAGTGGGGTTTTGAAGGCTGGTGTTGGGCGCTGGGTCGGCATGCATATTTCGTTTAGTTCGATTGCCGCCGGGGTGTTGATGGTCCCGGCAGGTCCTGGAATTTCATTGCGGCTGCGCGAGCTCGCAGAACCCCCATGGCGGTTGCCCTCGACGAGGGTGCGCTCTATGGTTTTCACCTGGCCGCCAATTTTGTTGGCAGGGCTCCCGCCGCTGCTGCTGCCGCCACCACTTGTGTGCGTACTTGTACCAGGAATGGCAGCGGCAGTAGCAATTGCGTTGGTGGTTGCGACGGGTGTGGTTAACGTGTATTGGGAAAGTGTGGTGGCTGCTCCTTGCACATCCCTTGTAATTATAGTGCTCCTCTGGTTTTGCGGCCGGACTGGTGTTTGATATGCGAATTTCGCAAGTGTGGCGGCTGCGGATGATTTGCCAACTGCGGATATGCAGAACTGCGACCCAGACTGGTCTTGAGATTGCTGCTGCGCCTTTTGCTGTGGCTGTGACGGCAGAATGATAGCCGGCATTTTTCCTGGCTGGAAACCAAGGAAACCCTGCGTATGGTCCACCAGCGTGTTGTCCTCCTCTGGGTTGAAGCCATCAAGCATGTCGTCGAGATCTCCTAGATCATAGTCCAGCAGGTCATCGTCGTCAACAGTACCACTGCCAGCACCGCCGGTGGGTAATGTTGGTGCGTTTTTGTTTGCCGAATTAGAATTAGAATTAGAAGTTAAATTCGTTATTTCTGTTCTTGAATTGTAAATTGAATTTGTTTCCGCAGCAGACACAGCCACGCGCTTTGGTTCCGGCGGGGGCAGTTGGTTTGCCCTGTTCTCCTCCCTGGCCCTCTTCAGCTCTTTTAACAAGTCAGCGAGCATGGCGGTTTTTAAATGTAAATTGAAATATAAAATAAATTGTACTTGTGTATAACAAACAAAAAAATGCGAAAAGGAAGAAAAAAAGAAGTAAAAAAAGCCGCAAAGCGGCATATGATGATCACACCACAAAACAAGCACGCTTTTTGATGCGATTCTCGTAACAACTGGCGCAGCTTAGTTATGGCTTATGCATGGGTGACCAAATGTGTGAGCATCGCACGCCAGCGAATAAATACATCCTCGATAGTCAAGAAGACGCTATACGCGGATAGCGTGGTGTCGTAAACCCAGAACCTAATCCAGTTCAGCAGCAGCCGGGACAGCCTCGACGATGTCTTTATAAAGCCCAGGCGCGAGTCATTGTGGTTGATATCGGCCGCGCGCGCATTACGAATTGCAATTAAGCAATAATGGCTCACGCGCAGCCACGTCCGCGTCTGTGCGTGCTGCTGCACTGCAGGCGGCTGATCGGCGAACAGCTTCTTGTCGATCATGCGCAACAAATCGTTAGTCTTCAGCACAAGACGCAAGACCGGTGGCACCGATGACAAAATCTCGGCGATCTGGCGCAGCAAATCGGGCTGCTCCTCTCTCAGAGTGTCTATGTCGAGCCGCAGTGGTGTAGAAGACCCCGTCAGCGACTTGGACTCTATAGTTTCCCAGTTCTGCCCGGTGAGAATGATTGAGAACAGGCGATACAGATCGGTTCCCGAAAGCTTATGTGACCAGTAGATAATCTGGTCCTTGTTGCCGCGCATGAGCGCGCGCCACATCTCGGAATACTCGTAGCGAAAGCGCGACGATAACTGGCGATACAGCCCGTGGTCCAGCAGAACCAGGTCAAAGTTATACCCATGCGTGGTCTGCTTCCGGTCGCGCGGGCGCACAAACAGATTGCCTGGATGCGGGTCGCAGTGCAGGTAGCCGTGCACAAAGGTCATTTCAGCAAATGCACGGCCAATTTCGCGAGACACTTCGGAAGGGCTAATGCCGTGCTGCCGCAGGAACGCCAGATCGTCACAGCGCTGGCCGCGGATAAACTCCATTATCAAAACACGCTCCGCTGCCTGCAGCATCTTTGGCACAACCAGCGGAATATCAGCGTGCGCGGCAAAGTTCCACTCCACCTGCTCTGCGTTGGTCTTGTCGTTACGGAAGTCCAGCTCGTGAGGAAGGCTCTCGCGCAGCTCAGCGCCCACCCACATGAACTTGAAATCCGGGAAGATGCTGTGTATAAACTCTAGCATGACCGATGTCGTAGCAATGTCAATGTCACTGTACGTGCGCACCATTGGATGCTGCACCTTGACTGCTACCTCTTGGCCGCTCTCGCGCAGGATAGCGCGGTGCACCTGTGCCAGGGACGCAACACCAATGGGCACCTCGTCAAACTCGGAAAACAATTCTTCGATAGTCTTTCCAGTGTCTATGTGGATGGTGTGACCAACATCCTCTACTGAGCTGGCCGTATTTTGATCCTGCAGCGACTGCATCGTTGTGCACCATTCCATCGGCAGTATATACTGCATTGCGCTTAAATGTTGTCCCAACTTGATATAAATACCGCCATTCACCATCAGCACCCTCTTCAGTCTCTCTGCTGAACGCAGGTGCACGGATGAGCGCACACCCAAAATCCGCTGCCGCTCATCCGCGCTAATGCTTGGGTCGTTCTCTAACGGCAGCTCGGGAAAGTTGCGGTAGTAGTCCCATGCCACCTGGCACGTAACCTTGGCCACTATTGCGCTGCGGTATGCGCTGGATGCCACCAAGTATGCAGTGTCGTAGTTATACACGACATACCCGCCAATCCCGAGTGCCGTAGTCACCACAATAGCTGCACGCTTCCAGTGGCGAGGATGCCGCGGAACAGATCCCTTGGGCGCCTGGGAGCCCTGATGTCCTTTGCTTGGTGAGAAAGATAAATAGCGGCTTGCTCTGCTTCTAAACAGAGTCTGGCCACGCGCGAAATTTACCCCTGCACTTGCAAAATTCAGACGACCTGCCGCTGTGGAACGCCTAAATTGAATTGCCGCAAACGACATTTGCCTTTAATTTGCTGAATACGAAAGTTTTGCGCAGATATTACTGTGGAATGAGAAAATAAAAAAGCAATACAAAAAATACAAAAGGCAGAAAGACGTGTTATTGACAAAAATAATCAAATGCGACCAATATCCCTCCCCACTCATAACAGACGGATCCCCTTAGCCGATGCCTCCACAGCTAAATATTTGGGGGTTCTTTTCTTTGCCCTTCGGTGCCAGGTGTGAGTGGTTAAAAATGATTTACTGTTGTTACAAGATGAAAATGTGAAAATGTGAAAATGAAAATGCGTGGTTCGTAAGGTTTCCCTGGCTTGATCACAACTAGGAAATATTTTGGTGTAGTTGCCAAGCTATGTATACATACGTACATGCACAAGGCGCAACACATGGGTGTGACCATGCCAGGGTTGGCATCGGTAGTTCCGCGCCTATTAGCAAGCTACCACCGGTGCTACGAGATATGCTGCTTTTTGACAATTTTATTGATGTGCCTTCAGCAATAGCACCGTATCATTCGTCTCCTTGCTCAACTTGGTGTTTTCGATACTCGCGTTCTTGTACTTCCGATTCAGCTTGTTAGAGCGCCTACATTTGTGTTGAAGCTTGTTTTTGTCGGCTAGCATATAATTTATTTTGGCCAGTTCCTGCTTGAATAAGGATTCATTTGCAGACTCGAGTCGGTCCTCCAACGCCTTATTTCACGTCTCAGCGTTGGTAATGGTAGCCTCACTCAGATTTGCGTGCTGGCAGAGCTCCTCAATCGTGTGGTGCGCGTCATCGAGCTGACTGGTAAGGGCCTTGTTGGCCTAGGCGTGTACTGCTTCAGCGTTGTTAAACTCCTCAATGGCGTGGAATGCATTTCCAAGCTCATGGGCAATAGCCGCCATAACCTAAGTATGTGCCATATTGGCTTTAACGATCTCCTCAATACTACAGCGTACGTGCTTGAGCTTGTTGGCAAGTGTCGCCGTAGCCTGGCTATATGTTGCCTTGGTATTGGCGAGAACCTCGAGTTCGCGGCGTGTATTTTCGTGCTCGAGGGCATATGTTTCCTCAATGCCAGCAAGTGTGGACTCAAATGTTGGTAAGCGCAAACTAGACCCTAATATGTGTAGAACCGTTGCTGAAGTAACCGTCATCGACATGGACAATGAAAGCATCGGCGTCTGCCACCTTGCTCTTAGTGCCGGTGGTCTTAATAAAAGTAGAAGTGCACGACTTGCGCACCAGCTGGTGCGATGGCTTGCGAATCAGCTTCTGTGACTTGGGGTTGCTGGAAGTCTCGCAACTGATATCTGCGCACACTGCTTTGTGTATCTGGCGGATTGGGCTGAAAGGCATAATGTTCATTTTTATAATAAAAATAAATCGCTGAAAGGCTAGAGATCAAAAAAAGAATAAGGATAATAATTTTTACTAGAAAATTGAAGTTTTGAAGTGTTGAAATTTAAAACAAAAGGAAGCTTCCCTTCTAATGTATGCAAAGGGCAAAGAGAACACGTAAAACAGATTTATAGCAGTGACTATCAGCAAACTACACATGCATTGGGAAATAAAGAAAGTGTTCCAAATAAAAGCCCGAAGAAAAAGAGGGGGAAAAGAAAGAAAAAAGTATTATGATGGTGGGCAGTCAGCTTTATTTTGGAATAATGAGCACGCCAGAGAAAAAGTTATTAGCTACTTTTATAACTATTGGCCTGATTTCTGTATTTAAAAACATCGCTCTGCATTCATAGCTTGGGATCATCCAACAAATGATTTAGACTTTTTTATTCGCAGTGATTATCAAGACCTGCATGGCCATACTTTCATATTTCAAACACTTACACGCACTCTTTTTGAGCTCAGACCACTTGTCTTTGTAAGTAGCCATTTATTGGCGCTGAGATCTGGAAATGCCCTGCATAACTATCAAATAGCATAAGCCTGTACATTGTCGGGCCTATCCGTGAATACTACACAATTGATTTGGACAAGCAGATGCACTCTTATTTCAGCGCCATATTTTCCGTAGAACCGGTTGCTTCCGCGTATAAGGATTGTCAAAGAAACAATTCAGAGACCGTGACAATAGCCAGGGCACCGTCTCGAATTGATAACCCAGAACTTTTGTTGCATCATGGTATTATACTGTGCCATCCGGTTTAGTTCTGGCTTATAATGTAATACAAAGAGATATCATCTTATTTGAATACTTAAAATCGCAATAGTAGTCAGTGCCAGTCAAATCCCCAATAGCCGATGGGTGCACTGACAATAAAATAAAGAAAATGCGGTCTTTATTCCTAAACAACAACCATATTTAAATAAGTAATTAGAAAATAACTAAATAGCTAAATAACCTCTCAAATAAATGTTATTAATAAAAGCTCCACTGAAGTGACCAAGAGACAAATAAGCGAGAAAGTACAGTAGAAACGCCCTGCAGCGACACTGTCAGCCACTTATTGTGTACCAGGGTCATTCATATTTCTTCTCCACGAATGGGGGTCAAAACAGGCGTTCCGTAGTGCTACACCATAGATAAACTATAAATTATGAATATAAAACCATTTACATGTGTTATGATTGTGTCGAGCACCATGCGAATAGTGCTATATGATATGTATGAGTTTTGCAATAATTTTTATTGCCAAGGAAATCAAAAGTAGAATTAAGATCAGCTTTGACATATATATGCGTATGTGTGTGCCATCCCCGACTTTGCCCTGTCCTACACGCTAGCCGTTTTAATCACTGATAATGTGTACTGGCTTTTTTGCAAGCAGCCCAAATATTGGGTGTGTCGGTGTTGCAATCTTTGCGTATGCACGCGCGTTATAAAAGGGGGATCATATCTGGATGTTATTATTGATTCCCTGGCCTAATACTCCATGATAATATTTGCCTTCTATCAGTCGGTATGAAAACGGAAAGCAGTCACTTGAATATCAATCTCAACATTTACCTCCATATTATTCGGTTGTGCAGCACTGTATGTAAAGGCTAAAAATATTGTTTCAATAAAAGACATGTTGGGCAGAACAAAATAGAATAGAATATAGAAAACCGATAAAATAAAAAATACGTATTAAAAATGAATAAATGGCACAGCTGTAGATATGTCCATTTATTCTCAGCCAAGAGGAGGGTGATAGATACGAGTGCCATAAAAACATTTTATTTGACAAGAGCCGAGAGTGCGCAATGCGCCAATTATATGAATGGTTATTAGGATAATGCTTGCTCCAATAGCTCCTGAATTGCAACAGCCATTTGAAACGAGCGTATATGTCTTTATCCTCAGTGCTCTTGTGGTTTTAATGTTTATCCCGGGTCCCCTTAAGTGCTGGAATGTCGCGAGATGCTGTAATTAGTGACACCTTGATTTATATAAATGTATATTTATCCATTTTTATTTTAGGTACTGTGGGTCGGCAAATTGCACGGGCTGTCGAGGTTTCCTTTATCCGGGCTTTGAGTTAAACTGAGCATATTGTTAGCAACTAGTTTTACAGCGGTGTAGTTGACTTTCCCTGTAATACCCAGTGCCTAGCTGGTCTATTAGCTACTAAGGTCCCTTCATGGATACTTTCAATTTTCCTTGATGCATGTGCATCTCGCTAGCTTTAAAGCTTCATGGTATCAAATACTCTATTGCCGCCTGTTTAGTGGGCCTTTGTAAGTGAGGTAGCTACTCCCAATGGTTTTGTCGCATGCTCCAGAGCGTTTCACCTATTGACCCCCCACTCAGGCTTAATAACGGGCATCTGAATTATTATTTGCGCACTTTTAAACAAAACACTATTTAATGTCTTATCCAACGCTTATCTTGCTGTTTGTGCGGCCTTGGCTTGTTACCTTGTATTTTTAAACAAAACTTAAACACACCTGGTGCCCTAGTCTTGCTTCTGCTGCTCAGAAAACCCTCATGTCACTGAGCAAAGTTCATTGCTGCTGAAATGTGCTATATGTTTTATTTACTTTTACTACATATTTGTCTGCCTCCTTGTCCTTTTGGCAATTCTTATCAGCCCCCCTCTTGCTAGGTTTGCACTTGTTTTCCTTTTTGGCTGGTCAGTTTCCAGATTTTATACTTTTGCGGTACATGTGGCCTCATACTTTCTAATTTTGAAGTAGTGTTGTGCTAGCAAAAAAGCGCATCGTTGCTGATCAATTAATAATAATTTTAATACTAGAGTAACAAATAAAACATGCGGAAAAGAAAAGAAAAAGGTTGTTTTGCTCATATGCGCTGATTGATAGCTGCTTTATTCGCGGGTTTTACGCAACGGGTAAGCTGCTCCAGTGTTTAAATAATTAGCTTGTTTATTTTAACTAGCCCCTGTAGGTGTTTTGTTTGTATGTAACCGGTGTTTTAGACTTTGGGCTTTTTAGACCGCTAATGCACTTTTAGGCCATTTTACAGCGTATACACGCTGAATAGTGCCACTGAGTGACAATAGAACGCCTGCGCCGTTGCAGCTTGTCTTTAGTGGGAAAATAACATACGCAAAAAACATGTTTCCGTCTCTTTGTCCCTACCACATAAAATATATTTTTCTTGATTGATACTTTCACCAGCTTATTTTTTAGTCACAAAATACTTTAGCCCTAATAAAGTAAACACACAGCCGTTTTCCCTTGTTTTTTACCAACGGTATCTACATTATGCTTGGACAATAAAAGTAACCTTTAAAAAAGTGTAAAGATATTGAAAAGTTGAAAAAGTGAAAAAGAAAATCCATGATGTTGAGCAGCCTGATGATATGGAAGTGGATGTTGATGAGAACTCGTTTCACGGCCCTTAATCTCGACATGCCAATTAACAGGGCATAGATGGTGGTACCATGTAGGATCAAATCAGGGGACATAATAATGACACCCTGATATGCCTCCCATTTGATAATGTATATACATGGATGTGCATATGCAAAGATCACAACCTTGATACGCCAAAACACTATCTTTCTACAGAAAAACCGGTTCTCACCAACGGAGTGCTCAATTGGTAAAATGCACAATAAAAGCAATGAGACATATAATATGAGGTCGGCCTCAGCTACGCTTTTAATCCCATTGATAATAAAAACCTTTAAAAATTAACACCCCACCTCTAACACTATATCATAGTGCTCTACACACATCCTCTTATTATAAGAGTATTACACTACGAAATTTTCAAAGTGTAACTTCGATGTTTGAAATTCTGAGGCTGACCGGTTATTTTGCTTATTATTTACTGTAATGATAATATTTCTGGTCAGTCCTCGAAACAAAAAAATGCACTTTATGCATGGTCGCCCGTCTCTATTATTCACCTTATTTTTAATAACAGATACAGACACACAGACATGCAAACATAGTCAACTTTCTCTTGTTTATTATTATTTTTATATTTCTACGCTAGGCTTGTATATTAGTTTGTTAATTATTAAAACAAAATGTTTTCCTATTTTAATGACTGATTCCAATTTACTCCAAGATAGGAATGTTCTTATAATAGGTGCGTTTGCCGCCGTTGGCCATTAACTTGCACACCATATATCTGCCCTGGGCGCCCCCCCCTGGTGCTTGTTGACTCACTGTCCAATGGTACAGACGAGGAACTCAGCGCTATCTTGCCAACCCATACAATCTATATCAAATTCAACCTACGCCAACAATGGGAGGTCCGGCTAATGATATAGGCCGTGGTATTGACTTTTGGCCAACTGGACATTCTAGTCAATAATGCACACAGCCTGGCCGATGAAACATTGGATGCCAAGGACATGCAGCTTATCTGTAACAGCATTGACGTTAATTTTTGCACATCCATTTTTGGCATCCTGGGTGTTCTCGTGGTATTTTTGCCAGGCGGGCAAGCAGGGCATGGTGGTCAATGTCGCAGTGATGGCTGGGTTAGTTTTCAGCAAGGAAGGGGAGGTGTTTGCCACGATGAATGCCGGTCTGATACATTTTACTGAGGCTAGTCGCATACAGAAGGATAATGCCAGATGGTGTGCCTTGGCACCCTATTATGTTGACGGTTTGGTGGACGGCGGTGGTGGCGGCAGGATGTTGCCCAGGAATAAATTGGGCGCAGAGTTGGCTATAATCTGCGAGCAGGTTGTTCAGGCTATGGTCAGGTGTATTTTTGAAGACCGGTTAAATGGAAAAACGGTTCTGATGGCTGGCGAGTCTACTTATACGCATACTTGGACGTATTTGTTGGCCAGAGTGCACATATTTTTCATCATTATGTGGAGCATACTTGTGCTACTCTCCAATCGGTTAATGTTTTGTGCTAGCACAATGTGAAGAACAAGCGGAAAGAGGCAGAAACTGAAGCTGAAAGTAAAAAAAGCATTGCATTTTCATTTGTTTTTCCACTAAAAATGCTTTGGTCAAAATGCTACTTGATTACTGACAATATATTTTTGCTAGATATTTGATCACCTCCATTTTAGTTCAGAGGTCCATGATTCATTTGTATGACCCGGCTTCTAATTTCTGGCTGCTGCAAACACTTTGAATAGACAATTCACTCTGAACTGTCTTTTATCTTTGACTCAATGACGGGTCAGCATGCCCCCAAAAAAGCAACAAAGGCAAAAACAATGTACAAGGGAGAGAACAATGGCAATTGGAAATTAGTCCGTAAATATAATTATTTCTTGTTTCCATATTTCAGCCAACCAAATGTGAGCACAAAAAGCCCAAAATTTTTTGTTTATATTTTGTTTGTTTATATTATAATATTGTTTGTTTATTGTTATTGTTTCTAGTTTTTAGCACAATCTATCGCTAAAATTTTTCCACATTTCCAATTTTTCATCTTTGCTTCTATTTTTAACACTTGTTTTTTCATTTCACACAGTTTGTTTTCTTTTTCCTTTTCTTTCTCTACTTTTATTTTATTAATTTTTCAATTTCTATCTCTCTTTCTCTCTCTCCTACAACAATGTCTGAGTTAACTCCACCTACCGAAACAGGAGTAAGTAGAATCAGTCAATGTTTTATTTTGACCTTTATTCGCTTTGCAGTTGTTCATTTGAAATTTTAAAAAAAAAGTATGACTGATTACAAATGACAAATTGGCTACTTAATTTTATTTTATTAGGAGAGCAAAACGGACGGCACTTTCCAAACGTCCACTGAAAGTCAAACCAAGGCAAACCTGCCACCAGAGGAATGGGAGACCGACCACGTACGTGATAAGCGCCGTCAGTGGCTTCTGAAATGCCTAGGCGATAACATAAGAGACAGTTATCTGTTCGATGACTTTGTCGAATCGCTGGGTGTGGAGCAGCGGTATAAACGGTTCATCAAGGATTGGCCTGATCTCTTCCTCGACATAGCCAGGGGGTCGCCAGTGGCTGATAGCAAGGGCATTGTAGCCAATGCACGTTACGCGATTAACGAATTCGACGATTTTCCCATTGCTGACATTTTCAAAAAGCACTCGGGGAAATTGATGAGGTTGACTAAGGAAGCTCGTTTGGCCAAGTATTTTATCTTCCTCTTCGACGCGATGGACAATGCAGTTTGTGTCGCAAATAGAGTTATTCCGGCAGGCAAAACTCCAATCCCAGAGTGCAGGCTTATTGCGATGGTCCATCAGAGGGATGTCATACAAGGCACTCCGCACAAGCCAGCTATCGCATTTTACCACGGGTACATAACACGGGACATTAATTCCGTCCATGTTATACTTGAGGCCAAGGTGGATCCAGCTTTCAGTGGACCCCCAGAGGATACTCGCGGCCAGCTCGCAGATTACGGCCATGTGCTTAATGATAAGCAGGCAACCCGCACGTTTGCGCCCGTCTTCTACCTCCATGGACACCTTTTGACGCTTCATGCATATTATCGTGACAAACTGTATGTCGTTGAGTTTGGTGATATATGCTTTGATACTGATTATTGGATGTATAACGGAGCTGAAGATATCCAGAAATGCCTCATGCGGCTTTGGTTTCTGCTGACTCTTGAGTCGGACATCTTTGGGCATTTTTGCGATGTCTCAAAGAGACTTGGCTCTTTCATTTTTTCACAGGAAGTCAATGTGGAGAACAAGGGTGACTTGAAGACAGAAGTTCTATACTCGGTTTCCAAGGATGTCAAGGATGGTGAGAATGTTGTTGCTTCATTTTGTGTCGAGAAGACAATAGCACGTCATTCATACATGGTTGGTCGCCATGCCCATTTACTCAAGGGGAAATTCAATAGGAAGCATGATGCTGTGCTGAAGCTTTCCTGGACCCCAGTCAATCGTTTGCCCGAGGGTGCCGCATATGCTATCCTCAACAAGAGACCAGTCGAAGGTATTCCTGAGATATTTTTGAGTGGCCTGCTCATTAGCAACCTCAATGGATACCGGCTGGAGTTTGTGCTCATGGAGGACTGTGGCCAGTCAATGGCCGAGTATCTGAAAGGCAAGACTAATGATCAGAAGGACGAGCTGGTTCCTAGGTTTATCAAGCAGCTGACCCTGTGCCTTGCCCAGGCAAATGACATTGGTCTCCTGCATAGGGACATCTCAGCAGGAAATGTGTGTGTCAAAAAGAATGGCAGGGTGTATGTCATTGATTGGGGCTGTGCCAAGGTCATTGACTGGGGCTGTGCTAAGGCCATTGGCTGGGGTACTGCTGAGGACATTTCCAGGGATGCTGCTGATGACCCTGACACAACTCAACTCAAACACATTGAGGTTGCCGAGCAGTGGGGGTTCAAGGCGACAACAGTGGGACAGGTGGAGGTGGCCAAGGATCCATTTACAGGGACGTCACTTTTCATGGGAATTCCCATTCTTAGTAGAAACCCCATTCGGGGTATCCTTGACGACTTGGAGAGTCTTTTCTATGTCATTATGGATGCAGTGCGCCCAGCTTATACTGAGAGGGATGATGTTCAGGGCTTCAAGTTCCTAGACTCTCCATCCCTTGCCATCGTAAGGTGGGGTTTAATCCAAGAGGATGCTGTCTTGCTGGAGGAGTTTGGTGTTAAAAATATTAACCCTAGGCTCATAATGCTTATTTGTGCAATGCGCCGGTTCCTGTTTGAACCAGAAAACAAGGTTATGAACCACCAGCTCTGGGCAGACAAGAAATTTGTCCGACGGGCCAACTGGGATGCTGCTCCTAAGTTTATGCATCCCAAGGCGATTGAGCTCCTCAAAGAGGATAATGGCCAGCTTAAGCGGCCAGCTGGGGACGAGATCAATGCTGGGTCATTCAAAAAGTCAGCACTTTAGGTTTTTTTTGTTTTAATAAATATTTTTGATCCCAAAAAATTAACTGCAAAAGATAAAATATTTACATTTTACTCATATTTTCCTGATTATATTAAATAAAGTTTTTAACTCTTGTCTATCTTATTTACAGATTCACAGATCCACCAATCACTTTAACTGTAAACAAGAAATACTTTTAAACTCGCACATTGCCCAATTTTACTTAAGGTTGATTGTATCCATAAATTTCGATTTTTATTTTTTGCCAAATGATTCCATTTTAATGTTTTCTTTCTAATTGCTCCATTTTATCATTTTCCTTTCCTTTCCAATTCCAATTTCACATTTTACAATTTAGTATTTTTCACATACTTTCAATAATCTTTTGCTAGCATAGACGATAGTCGGTACTACCTCGCAATTGGCATTGGGGCAGCGCTTGGCACGTACCAGGAGGTACTTTCGCATCTTTTGGACCAATCACAATATGAGTTAGATTTCTGCTACACAGACAAAAACAGCGACAGCGACACGCCTGGTGCGCCGGGACCAATAATTCTAAAATAGGGTGCGGACAATGAGGTGGCATTCGACATTCAGATGCCCGAAATGGTTAATTCCTTGGCACATTTGATACTGCATTCAGCCAACTTTAAGCTGCAGGATACTGTGTCTGAGCTGGTACTCGATATGGCCATGCGGTGAGAGATGCTGCAGCTGATAGTCGCGCAGGCTCAGGGAAGTTCAACAGCAGAGGAGGAGGGCTGGTTGCGGGCAGCTGTGTTGCTGCAGGTGCTGGTGATGATGCCGCAGCAGGTCGGCAGGTTGGTTTGGGCCGGCGGCATCGAGGCGCTGGTAGACGCTATGGGCGCGCCCAGAGAGAAAGAAGTGGCGATGCGGGCAGCCACCACGCTGCTCGGGCTGCTGGACGTGTCGGACCCGGAAGTATCCAAGCGGCACATGCGGCAGGCAGTTGGCTGGGGGCTTCTTGAGGTTTTCAGCGAGGTACTTCTGCAGTCAGCCAACGGCTCGGCCTGAGGCGGCAGCAAGCGGAGACAGCAATCAGACGCTGCACTTGTTGGTAGGTGTGACCATGGCAAAGAAATTTGCGCTGCGCACTGAGTACCACCGGCGGATGATCGATCTGGCGTTTCTGTCTGCATTGCTCGGTGTCGCACGCCAGTCAGTGGCTAAGCTTAAGCTTTTGCGCATGCTGCTGGAGAGCCTCATGCAGCTGTACACTTTTCTCACAGCGTATCGGCTGCCAGCAGCAGAAGAAAACGCAACGGAGGTAGCGAATCCGCAGATGGTGCAGCTGCTGGAGTTGGGTGCCGTCGATGTCATCACTTTGTGTGTCCGCCAGGATGACCAAGGCATGTCCTCGTGGGGCATTGGGCTTCTTCATGAGTTTGTGTCGTGAGGTGTCGGCAAGATGCAGCTGACAGCATGCCCAGGGTTGGTGCATTAACCGTGTCATAGGCTGGCGACAGGCAAGTATGCATACACCAACCATCTGATTCTGTGCTCACTCTGGTACCTGTGCATGTCGCGGGAGACGGCCGTGGCCCCGGCTGCACTGGCGGAGGTCGTGCAGCCAGAGAATCTGCGACGCATGTTGGCGATGCTTGTCTGACGACGACGCTGAGGTGCACTACTGGAGTGTAGCGCTGATCAGCCGCGTGTCGCTGCTGGCGTCGACGCACCGGTGGATTATTCGCAGCCCGCTGCCCCAGACCATGGCAAGTATTATTTCACGCCTGTATCATTCGATCGATGTGGCGCCAATAATGGCCGAGTGTCCGACGATTGCAACCATGTGTGTCAGGCTGCTTGCAGCTGACGTTGAGTCGGCACACATGTCTCGGCCATCATGGCCATCATCAATGCCACGGCAATGTCGCGCGGCTTTTTGCGGCTACTGATGGCTGACGACGCAATTAAAATGTGGGTGGTCGAACTGGCCTTGGTCAACGGCAGCAGCAGCGGCCCAACGCAGAGTTACGTGGCAAAGGGCCTGGTTGCGCTGATGTATTCCGGGCAGGTGGACGCCAAAGATGTTGTGCGCAATGTGGTGGCCCCGCTCCTGCGGCAAATGGAGAGCATGTATTTGAATACTTTGGAGCTGGCGTTCTATCCCGTCAGAGACAGTGATGAAGCGTTGAGCGAGATCATGCCAAAGGGCATCAGGTTGGGCCAGCAGATGAGCACTCCCTTGGTGGTGTTCTCTGCAATTCAGGCTATGGTCGCACAACAGGGCATGTGGACGGATGCCAGTGTGCTTGTGTT